GGCTCCCAGGGCAAACTTAACTCCCCCACAAAACTTGAAGGTGGGGGAGCTGCAGCTACACATTCCACAAAGTGCTGGCACTTACACCCATAACCTGGAAGGCTGATGAGGGATTCATATGGGTGGTGACCTCCCATCATCAAAAGGTGTCATGGTTTGGAATGTTCATGATGGCCAAGGACCTGGTTAGAGGTATAAAGAGCTTTTTTTCACCATTACCTTGAAAGACCCTAGCCCAGTTAGCCCAGTTACCTCAGGCCAAGATGTAAAACAAAGATACCAGGCATGCCATAAACAGGTTCAGGCGCCAGGCATGCTTTCCAGACAACCAGTTGAGAAAGAACAGAACACCCACATCCTGGGGCATGCATGAATAAACCGGAACCACATAACCGGTTGAGAAAGAACAGAGCACCCACATCCTAGGGCATGTATGAATAAACCGGAACAGATAAGCAACGGAATGTAAACCTGTGGGTTTTCCGGGACCATAAAGTGATAAAGAAAAAAAAAAAAAACAAAACCTTACCCCCCAGGTAACCTATATGCTAGATTTAAAGAAACCAATAAGAAACCGGTTGCTTCCCGCGGGCACGAAACCTGTCCTAAACCCTATAAAAATCTCTGTATCCCCAAGCCCGGTGTGCCAGTTCACCAAAGCTCAGGCTGAGGTTCTGCTGGGCACCTCAATAAACCACCTCTTGCTTTTGCAGCCAGTGTTTCGTGTGATTCTCCTTGGACAGGGAAACGGAGGGTCTTTCAACCTAATTTTCCCCCCTCTTAAATGATTTTCTTCTTTGGTGTGTGGTGCGAGACCCCCAGATCCCCCAACCCGGAATGGACCACGAGAGACACTGGATGCAAACAGCAGGAGGGTTTATTCTCACACAGGCGCCCATGGATGCACAGCAAAACCTCAGCCGGAGCTTCGGTGACGGGCACACACGGGCTTGGGGGTACAGAGTTTTTATAGGGAGCGGGGGTCAGTTTTCAGCTTAGCACAACAACAGCCATTCTATAGGTTCCTCGGAATTCAGCCCTGGGGTCACCTGGGGGGTAAACTTGTTTTTTTCCCACTTAATGTTCTCAGAAAAGAAACCCATAATTACATCCCGTCCTTATTGTTCCTGTTTTTACCCTATTTCCTCAAGCTTGGCCTTCCCAGGATTATCTATATGGAACATCTGGCGGTGGCATTGTATAGCGCTTGGAGTGCTACGTGCTGCTGGGGAGTGCTACGTGCTGCTGGGGAGTGCCCCTTGCAGCTGGTGAGTGCCCCTTGCAGCTGGTGAGTGCCCCGTGAGCTGGGGAGTGCCCCGTGCAGCTGGGGAGTGCCCCGTGCAGCTGGGGAGTGCCCCGTGCAGCTGGGGAGGTTGTACATGGGAACATCCTGGAGGGCACAGGGGTTAGAATTCCTAACGTTGGGTTTGGGGCTCTGGAGTCCTTCAGTGGTACAGCAGTATAATTTTTCACTTATTTATTCCATCAGTAGATGGTTTGTACAATGTACAATGGTTCCATTTCAAAAAGTTAAAAAGAATTCAAATAAAAAGAAAGAAGCTGAAAACACCACACAATAATGAAACAACATGCCCAGGTTTTCAACTGCTGATCTAAGCCTCACTAGACTAGTAACAGGGAGGTGAAGGCTAAGCTGCTACAGAGAGACCCTCTGGCCACAAGACTCTGGAGAGGACCAGGAGGAGTCCCAAGCCAGGACTCCCAGTTTCCACCATTGCCACTCCCGTCAGCCTTAAGCCACCTTCCTCCGCAGTCTCAAGATACAAGGCACACTTACCATTTCCCGGCTCTCAGGGTTCTCAGCGGTCTCCCTGTGGTTTGTTTTCAGCTTCTCCATAGCACAGAAACCTGGGCTCCGGATCCAGGGCAGAAAGTCCAAAAAAGTTTGAAAAAACGGCGGGGCCCAGACGCGAAGGGAACGGAAGTTCGTGGAAGCCCGCCCCCTCATCACCGGCTGCGTGCGGATTGGACAGTTCTCGCCTAAGAGACTGATTGGCCGAGGCTTCAGGCACTGCCTCCAACCTGAGCCAAGTGGGCGCAGAATCAGGCTGAATGACAGGCTCATCCTTTGTCACTGTTAAAAGAAGAGAAAACAGCCGGTGAGGTTGTGGCTCAAGCAGTAACGCGCTCGCCTGGCACGCGTGAAGCCCAGGTTCGATCCTCACCACGGCCTACAGACAGAAATGCTGCCTCTGCGGAAACACAATCTGTTTCTTTTTTTTTTT